TTAACTATTTATGGTGTTGTGCAAAACAAAAGCTATTGAAATTACGAGTATCCTCCCGTTGCACAATGAACACGAATAGTTTTTATGGTGCAAATTAATAAAATGTGAATTTTATGGATTGTCATACCTCGAAAATCATGCAACACAAATGTATGAAATTATTCGAAGAGTCCCTTCAGGTAGGGCGTAAGAATTGTATCTGCTGCCCATATTGCATGATCGTAAGAGGCAACTAAATTTGGCATCTTATGTTTTCTCTTCTTTCTAAACAACTTTCTTCTTCCTAATGTCTCCCTCGACACTGCCTCACTTTTGGCCTTTAGTTCAGCGTTCGCCCCTGTGAGGAAGGCTTTGAATTCTGTTCCCTGGCCAAGACATACAAAAGTCTGTAAAAATGGTAGTTGCTACTCCTGCTTAACGACCAGCAATTTAGGAGTAGGACGACTGAACCAGTGTAATGTGACCGGGTTGGGTGTCCTGCTGGGTGTCTTCGGCAGTATGTTTCAGTTAGGTAGCACTATAACGTCGGTATCAGTTCCGCGCTATCACAAGGAACCAAACACGAATATTTCGCAGCCTCCCAAAACACACATACATACACTACACGCACGCACCTTGCACACGGGGGAGGCCATCCTTAAATGACTTTAGCTGTTGATAGGACGTTAAACAGGCTAAAACCCGAACCAAACCAATTATTCGAAGATTATTATATAAAAACATATTTTTTGTATGTTCATTTTTTTCCAAAGTATTGAAATACGCCCAAGAAAAATTCATTTAGTTTTCACGAATATTTTAGTGAAATACAGTAGAATTATGGTATTGTACCTTTCTGGCCGCCACCAGATCGGGACTGCCCTCCATCCGGATAGATTTGATTTTTCGATATTGCATTTTTTATTTTGATACTTAACATTTATGTACAGTGATGGGAACTATTTTCAAATTTAAAACAAAGGGCCTTGTTGATCCAAATTATTGACAACAACCCTAGAAGTACAATAATTTTAATAAAATGTACAATATAACGACCGAAAAACACAGTGTCAGTGAACCCGCTTGCACACATAACACTTTCTTGTCGCGTTTAATGTAATGCAAGTGAATATTTTTACAAACCACACCGCAAGTAAGAATTATAAATATCAGAACTAAAACTCGTATGAGATATTTCTGTTCACAGCTGGATATGAATAAAAAGGAAGAGGTTGAATTAGAGTATAAACACACTGAGAGTGTATACCGCAGCGAGAATTTCAAACCGCACTATGAACGATATCATAAGGTTTCAACGTAAAATTCCGCACATTTAAACGATGATTGAGATGTTGATTTGTAGATGCTATTGATATAGAATAAATGCGCCTGTACTTGTAGTCTAAAGAAGTCAGGTGAATAGGTCGAGATTTAACCTTCTTTCTTCTGCTTGACAGATATTTTTGTTAGCTGAAAGTTCATCGACAGCTGCTGCTAAGACGTAGGGTTGTAGGTGCGTACACATACGTGTATATGTGACTATTTCTGAGCAAGTTTGGTACGAGCTTAAAATGGACACGTCTCAGCTCCAGACGCCTTCCCAAAAACGAAAGTCGCCAGAAGACACAACACCAAGTCCTAGCGTCCCTACTCAACCAAGGCACAGGAGAAGAAATTCGTTTAGTGACCTGACTCTAGAACCGACGCCATCTTTGAAAATGGACGTCGGCAAAAGTAAAGTGATTGACTTTAATTCACTCATCCATGCCACCGTATCTAAACCTACCTTTGCCTCTACGGTTGCACCAGTATGGGTAGATGCTTTGCTCCCACATTTCAAAAGCATGATGAAAACAGTTGTGTCGGAAATGATGGAAGAAATTATAAAAACCCTCAACAAGCCGATCGTATAAATGACCAGTGTATCCAAATTAACAATCTCACAAAGAGCAACACCAGTCTTACCAATACCCGCCATACTCTACAGGAAAAAGTTGAGTCCCTAGAGACCGGTCTAGAAGAACGAGAACAATACGGTAGGATAGTATATATAATTATTCTTTTGTTTGTAAAAGTAAATTGTTGACACTATTTCAATCTTCTGGTTGTACTTTCGAACGTGTCCCGCCAGCATTGCAAAAGAACATGGCAGTGGATGCGAAAACATATAACATCATAAAAACACAACGCGAAGTACAATACCACTATACATGGAAGCACCACCCATTCGCTAGGCCTACCTTCCTGCTACATTTTTGTGCCGTGACCAAGATGCCGGTTGTGTAGTCACTTGGAAAGGAAAACAACAAATACCTAGTAGTAAAATCCCTTTATTCAAGTTTGTCTAGTGAGGGCACAATTCTAATTATGTCTCTTTTGTTTTTCTTGTTTTAGAAACCTAGAATTGCTCTCAAACCTGTTCCGAGTTGCCATACTAAGGTATATATAGTGCAAACATGAGTTATAACTTTTCTGAGTCAGAGTCAGAATTTGAGGGTGAGGTGGATATAAAGTAGGTCTGGTTTGATACTAGATCATGACACTATCGATTTGGACTTCGATAGGGATTTACTGGGCCCAGAAAGTAGGGGTAATCTGCATATTCTTACAGGGAGTCCGAGTAGGGTTCCAGAAACACCTTTATGGGATATGGGGGATTCTGGTATTGGGCAGTCCTTCGTGATCAGAGGCAGTGCAGGAATGCGGCCGAGCGTACATGATACACTGTACACTGAAGGTAATTTTACTTGACTTGCCTCATGTAGACTTTGATCTGGTTAGGGGGTGGCTAGTGATCTGGATGGTATCTCTGTATCCTGCGAGGGAAACAGGGGCTCGCTACAGGGATTATGGACAATGGGGGCTACTTATCAGGGGTCCGTAGGTTTGGGGCGGGACAGTGGTAGTCATTCGGCGTGTATAGGGGGTAGGACGGGTAGGAAAGCTCATTTGTCATATGGGAATGTCTTGAAAGGAGGGGAAAAGGTAGTGTGTCAGTCACGAATCTGTCAGTCGAAGGGGAGGTATGTTTGGGACCAGTCGTCTACCTGCTCATATACATACGGGACGGGAGGAGTATATCAAGAGGTTTGATCCTGCAAAGAGGGCGGGACGCCGACCTGTCTTAGGGCACCTGGATTCCGACACCGAGGGCAATGCTGTACCACAGTGGATAAAGGTACCTAGGGGGACCAGACAGCGGAATGGATACGATTTCGACCTGGATGAATGGTGCGACAGGCATAGTACACCACGCCCAGATTTTGATAAGCAATGGGGACCATATGAAACAGGGTTGATGAGGCCATATTTGTCAAGCTTCATCCCGTTACATTCCCCGCAACATAGTTTTAGCAGGTAGTACTTGGAGAAACACCCATCGACAGTCTAACCTGAGACCAATGGAAACCAATGGATCCGCCTCGCAGGACGCCTGCCATGTTTAATGCTGCTAACCCACAACTGCCTAGAAGAGTATCAATAACTAGACGTGAGAAGAACCTGACAATTATGATAGGAAGTCCACAGACTGGAATGGTTGGGGCCAGGATGAAAAGGTTGCACAGCTGGTCATGAGTCTGAGAGGACAAGCACAAGAACTACTAGGGACACTTACGTTGAAGCAGACGACCGACTATGGGGCATTGAAGGCCGCCATTGAACAACGCTTCAACCCAAAAGAGTTGGAGGTAGCTCACCGGTGCGAGTACCGTAATAGGCGTAGGGCAAAAGATGAGAGCGTATCCGACAGGAGATTGGATCAGAATACCCATTAACCCCGCTCAATAGCTTTGAAGCTCAAGTAGTGGACCAGTACATTGACGGGTTAAACAACATGGAAATAAGGAAATATGTAGCCCTCAACATGCCAACTAGCCTGGATAGGGCCATTGCTCTAGCTACTGAATACGTTGCCATAGATAAAGCAGAATGCGGGTCTAGAAAGCCTAAACAAGATAGCAATGTGTATGCAGTACAGAGGGGGAAAGGCAGAGCTATTGGTCGCCAGGAGGACAACCAACAGGAGATAGACGATCAATTCCAGCTCTGGATTGCTGAAAATGGCCTCTCAGAGGGAGATTTACCACGTGTCTGGGGGTATGTTGTCAGGTTCAACGAAGGTGTTTCCTTTTTGTTAGTCAACAGCATAGACAACTAGCATGTCCGAAGCGCCAAGATAAGGTTCAATCTGAAGGTAAAGAAAAACAGGTGTTAAACTAGAGTGGGCTGGGAACGAGGCCACGTACTCAGCCGGTAGGGGTGACACTGAGAGAGAAGTCATGTCACATAAGGCCAAACAAAATAAAATAAACGGCACCTACGCCTATGATGAAAGCGGATCTGATTTGGTAACTACCAAATCTAAGTTACTTTCTGAGGTAGAAGGGTTGTATACAGAGAATGGCCAGGAACCACCAGGCAGTAGTAAGGGAGGCAGGGGCATTGGTGACAGGGCACACGAGGAGATACACTAGAACAGTGCATATATGCCAAAGCAAAGATCGATGGAGCAGATTATCTACTGCTGGTTGACTCGGATTCCTCCGTCTCAATAATTTCTCACAGGCTATTTGAACGGTTAGGCCTAGACGATAAAAGTTTAACAAGAACAAGACTCGTCCTACTGGCAGCAAACAGGAAAAATCTGGGAATCAAGGGAGAAGTGAAATTGGATTTCACACTCAACACTAAACAGTTTCACTATAGGTTTGTGGTAGCTGACATCAGGGGGAATTACAGGGTTTGTTAGGAACAGATTTCCTCTAGCATTACAGTGGTATACTACATGTAGCAATAAAAAGTTACAGACCAGTATGAGACAGATGCCATTAATGAAATTTAATGATGTCAAGGGGTGTGCATGTATTAGAGTAAAAGAAACTGTTAGGATACCCCCATAATCAGAGATAGTCATAGAAGCCAGGTTAAAAGGGGAAACTGACAGCGTACTGGCATGCATTTTACCTGGGAAATTCAGTAAGGAACACCAACTATTGGTGGCCCATAGCCTGTTAGTCAATATGGGAAAAGAATTTGTGCGGATTCCACAGCATACTCAGACGGGTAGGGTGGAGGCGGTACAGCAGGTTCATGAACAAGAAATAGCAGACCAAGGTACGGCAGAGCTACCCAAGCAATTGGAACCACTAGTCGAGAGATCATCAGTTGGACTGAATCAAGAACAGACTGAGATATGAACTAAGTTGATAGTTAAATTCCAGGACATATTTGTTGATTCATCCGGGAAGGTAGGACAAACAAATCGCACAGCTTACCGTATCGACACCGAAGGAGCAAAGCCAATTAAAATCCAACCTAGACGAGTACCTTTAACAAAAAAAATAGGTCATTGAGGCAGAAATTGAGAAAATGCTGTGAGCTGGGGTAATATAACCAAGTGATAGTCCTTGGTCAGCGCATATATGCCTGGTGACAAAGAAAGACGGGTCGTGCAGGTTTTGTATAGACTTTAGAGGGATCAATTCAGTCACTAGGAAGGCGCCTATCCTCTCCCGAGAATAGATGACACATTAGACACTTTGGCAGGTGCAAAATTGTTTTGTACTCTTGACATGGCAAGTGGATATTGGCAAATCAAGATGGACGAAACAGACAAGCATAAAACAGCTTTCGCCACACATCTAGGCTTATTTGAATTTAATGTCATGCCGTTTGGATTGGCGAATGCGGCGGCAACATTAGAAAGGCTTATGGAGATGGTACTGAAAGGTTTGAATTGGAAAAAATGGCTGTGTTATTTAGACGACGTAGTGGTATTCGGCCCAGATTTCGAGACCACTCTGCGAAATTTGGAGCTTGTATTCCCACAATTCAGTCAGGCCAACCTGAAGTTGAAACCAAAGAAGTGCGAGCTTTTTCGTAAAGAAATAGTTTATCTGGGGCATATCGTTTCAAAAGAAGGCATCAGTTGTGATCCCGCTTAAACCTCTGCAGTCAGGGAATGGAACAGACCGCACAATTTGTCCGAGGTACGAAGCTTTTTGGGCTTAGTAGGTGACTACTGAAATTTGAAGATAATTTTGAACAGATCCCAAATCCACTTGTGAAGCTGCTTAAGAAGGGCAACACATTTCGTTGGGACTCCAGTTGTGAGGAAGCATTCATCAAGATTAAGAAGAGCTCCAGTACTGGCTTTTCCTACCAAGAATAACAGGTTCATCCTAGATACAGATGCAAGCGCATCAGGGATTGGGGCTGTATTGTCACAACTCCAAGATGGCGAAGAAAGAGTGATCTGCTATGCAACTAAAACCCTCAACGGAGCACAGCGGAATTACTGTACGACGAGGAGAGAATTGGTTACCTTCGTCCGGCAATACCTGACTGGGAGAAAAATTACCATCAGGACAGACCATGCCCCTTTTGTCTGGCTCAAGAATTTCAATGAACCCGAAGGCATACTAGCACGCTGGATCAGTATACTGGAAACCTTTTATTTTGAGATCACTTACAGAGCTGGTACCCAGCATATCAACATCGATGCAATGTCGAGGCAGGTTGTCAGAAAATGTAAAAGAGTGGATTGCCCAGACTGCTATGGTAAAGAAGAAATATCAAAACCGGAAGTAGAATCCAAACCGGAAGTGGTACCAAAACTGGAAGCAACACCTGAGCAAGGGTTAGCACAAAAGGTTGGAGTGATACAAACAACAGGGCAAGTATTGGAGCAGGGAACAAGTAAACCGGAAGTGGGATGTGAACCGAAATTACCTGTTAAACAACCAGTATACATCCAGTTTTGACACATTAACAAGGAAACCTGCTAGAGGAAGATACAGGTGCAAACTGGTTGGGAACCTGGACTAAAACTCAGTTAACTTGCATGCAAGAACAAGATACTTCTATATCCAAAGTTAGAGAGATCCTCAGTAGCAACTCAGCAAAGAGTAACGCAAAAACTAGTAAATTAAGCAATGAGGTTAAGACCTTGCGAGATTCACTGGAAGTAATAGACGGTTTGTTGCACAGAAAAAAAAGCAGTAGCCTCAAAATCACCGAATAAACAGCTAATAGCTCCTCTGGAGATACGCAAACATATCTTCCAATAATTACACATAAAAAGAACCGCCGGACACTGCGGAAGAGATAGGTCATTAGCAGCCATAAGGAAAATATTTTACTGGGTAGGGATGTCGGAGGATATTGCCAGAAGGTGTAAACAATGCGACTTATGCGCAAAAGGTAAACCAGGACCTACATCAGACAATTCAGCCCTTAAACAGTTTCGTCCCACTAGACCTATGCAGTATGCGGCTGTAGACATTCTTGGTGGTCTACCAGTATCCAACAGTGGAAATGCATAAATCATAGTGGTTGGGGATTACTTCCCCAAATGGAAGGAAGCCTTCGATGTGCCGAACCATACTGCACTCACTGTGGCTGATAAGTTGGTGACTGAGATGTTCTGTCGATTCGGTTGTCCAGAATTCATATACTCGGAACAAGGAGCAGAATTTGAGTCAGAACTGTTTCAGGCGGTTTGTAGGAAACTGGAAGTAAACAAAACTAGAACATCTCCTTACAACCCACAATCAGACGGTTTAGTGGAGAGATTCAACAGGACTATGAAGAGAATGATGGCAACATTTGCCCATGAAAAAAAGGAGGACTGGGACGACCATCTACCTTACCTCATGCTAGCCTATAGGTCAGCAGTACATAGCAGCACAGGATATTCCCCCCTGTTGTGTAAAGTACGCCTAGTGCGATTAGAGTTGCCTCCCTTCTTTAATGATGTTGCACATGCGCACTTATAATAAATGAAGCTTGACCGGCAGCCATGTTCTTGTTGTCACTGAGCCTAACATGGTGTCAGACTAAATCGGGATAATGGACAAGTTACCGCCGCCACCGCCCCTGAATCTCTCCGGCAATTTAGCGGAAAACTGGCGTAGATTCAAGCAGCAATATGAAATCTACGAGGCAGCGTCGGGGGTGGACCAGAAAGAGGGAAAAGTCAGGGCGATGACCCTACTCCACGTGGTCGGAGCTTAGTGCCTGGAAATTTACAACACGTTTACCTGGGCGAATGATGAAGATAAATACAAAATCGTTGAAATCTATCAACAGTTTGCAAATTACTGCAATCCTAGGAAAAATATAACGTATGAAAGGCGTAATCAGCGAGAGGGAGAGAAATTTGAGAAATTTGTAACTGATTTGAGAAACAAGGCTTCGACATGTGAGTTTGATACACTAAAAGAAGGCCTTATTCGTGACAGAATAGTTTGTGGGGTTAGAAGCGATGCTGTTCGTTCTAGGCTGTTACGAGAGAAGGACTTGACATTACAGAAATGTATTGACATTTGTCGAGCAGCGGAAGCAAGTGAGGTTCAGCTTAAAGAGTTGAATGATGAAAAAGTCGTCCATGCAGTTAAGCCTAATAAGCGTGATAAGCATAAGTCTCAGCTGGCTACTCAGAGTAGACCGCAGAAGTTCAGCAACACACCGAGGAAGCCACCGCCTTTTAAACAATCTAACGCTCGTAATAACTGTAGATTTTGCGGTAAATCACATCCTAGAGGTCCAAAATACTGTCGGGCTTACGGAAAACAGTGTGACAAGTGTAAAAAGTGCGTCGGATTCGTTTTTCATCGGTACGGTACATGATCGCAGTACAAAGGCTACAGATACTACGGATGAGTGGTTCGTCAACACCAAGATCAACAGAACGCGTGTACGGTTCAAAATCGACAGCGGTGCACAGTGTAATGTGCTGCCTAAACACCTTTGTGAAAGGCCGGGGTTACTCATGTGNTTCAAAATCGACAGCGGTGCACAGTGTAATGTGCTGCCTAAACACCGGGGGTACTCATGTGCATAAATCGAGGGCTAACCTGGTATCGTACACAGGACACCGTATCAAGACCATAGGTAAAGCTGACATTGTCTTAGATTACCATGGAACGTACTACATGATTGAGGTACAAGTTGTTGATGATAATGCCGTCCCAGTTCTCGGACTTAACAGTTGTGTTCAAATAGGGTTAATTAAGCGTGTATGTACAGCTGACCGGAAACTTACACTTGATGAGATCAAGGCCAAGCATAGCAAATTATTCAAGGGTATTGGATGCATACCTGGCGAGCACAAGATTGAGATCGATAACAGCGTGCCCCCCGTCGTGCAACCTCCGAGAAAGATTCCTCATTCGCTCCGTGACAAAGTTAAGGCTCAACTTAAGAAAATGGAGGAAGCTAAAATCATCACCAAGGTTCAGCAACCTACGAAATGGGTCAATCCTATTGTAATAGTACGGAAACCCAACGGGAACGTCAGGATATGTCTAGATCCACGTAACTTAAATAAAGCCATAAAGCGGGAGCACTATCCCTTGAAAACAGCTGAAGATGTTGCTGCAAATCTCAAAATATTTACAAAACTTGATGCTTCATCCAGATTTCACCAGATTAAGCTTGCTGAAGAAAGCACATGGCTTACAACTTTTAATACGCCATTCGGAAGATACAAGTATGAAAGACTTCCTTTCGGTATCACATCGGCTCCGGAAGTGTTCTAGAGAACTCTTACCCAAATATTTGAGAATGTGGAAGGTTGTGAGGTCATTATGGATGATATTCTGGTGTGGGGCTCAGACATGGATGAGCACAATAGAAGAGTAGAAATTGTACTCAACAAATGTGAAGAGGTTGATCTACGTTTGAATTCTGACAAGTGCAAGTTTGGAAAAACTGAGGTAGAATATGTTGGTCATATTTTTGGAGACCAGGGTCTCAAACCAAGTGACAATGGATTTCCAGTGAAGAGACATTCTTAACATTTCATACCTATATGAGAACTGTGCTAAAATAGTTTGAATTAAGTTCAATTTTACATTTCATTGCAATTAATTGATATCTGGTAAAAACATCTAATTTGCAATTGCATTTGAAATAATTATATTTCTAATTGTTTTATCATCATTGAATGATATACATGTATTTCATTTCATATATATAATTCAAAGCTAAAAGGGGAGATGTTGTGTAAAGTACGCCTAGTGCGATTAGAGTTGCCTCCCTTCTTTAATGTTGCACATGTTGCACATGTTGCACATGCGCACTTATAATAAATGAAGCTTGACCGGCAGCCATGTTCTTGTTGTCACTGAGCCTAACACCCCCAACCTACTGATGCTGGGGAGAGAAGTGATGCTGCCTATAGATCTCATAGTGGGATTGCCGCCTGGTGATGAGGGGAACCCCTGTGCAGTGAAATACGTTGATGGATGCAGCATGCCATGAACACAGCATTTGAGACCGCAAATAAAAATTGAGGCATATCTGCTAAAAGACAAAAGAAATATTATGACATAGGCACAAAAGACAAACAACTTGAAATAGGGGCTTGGGTATGGAGGTGGTATCCTCCAGCAGCGGGACAAAAACTAGAATTAGGTTGGACAGGACCTTACTTAGTGATAGCTAGGTTGTCAGATGTAACATACACCGTCCAGAGGGATCCAAGGGCTAAGCTAATAAATATCCATATAGATCAGCTGAAACCATACTTAGGTAGTAATCCTCCACAAAATTGGGTCAAAGGGGAGGCAGTCAATAACATTTTGGTTGGAAGACTCAGCACATGGGTCTCAAGGTGCAAGGGATGGCCATCAAACAGTTAGGTTACCAGTTGATAGTAATGGGCAGGGCAGTCAGCGGGGGCGAGAAAATAGTCAGACCGAACAAAGAAGGACAAGGGGCGGTAGGGCAGTGAAACCACCTCAAGTTTATTCACCATAATCAGGGGTACACGGTCTTGTGACGCTGGTGTTATGAATACAAATCAGGAACATAATACATCTAGGTTGGTGACCTACCTGTGGTCGCAATAGTTTTTCTCTGCCCTGGATAATGTATATTAGTACGGGCAAATAGTAAAAACATCTTTCAGTAAATGATGCAAGCATATGATTTGGTACATGCAGTCTTTAAACACTACTTAACTCAAAAAGCACGTTAGCCATTTGAAATTCCAAAATGGCGGCCACCTTTTTCAAGATGGCCGCCATAATGGAGTTTTTTGATAAAATCTCCTTACCTTTTTTGGTAAAGAAACGAAACTAACCGTACTGATTCATCTCAAAGTAATTTTTAAATCTCATGACATTTAACAATAAAACAAAAAGAAAAGATCATATAAGATTTTATTAAGCCTTCCTTTTGCAAAATTAAAATCATAATATCTACAAATAAAGCGAAAGAAAATAAACAAAAATATTTACACATTTTTTGTCTTACTCATTTTTAATTGTGAGCTCCTGTCACTAATCTAATATAAACAAAGTATCTAAGTGTCATAGCTGCAACACAGCTGTATATCTATGTTTCACAGTTACAACTACACAATGCCGTGCAATGAAGAGTTAATCTGTAACATTTGCATCGACAACAACATTCCGTCTTGCATCCACATTTTGTCAGTTGTTGACAACTCTGGGCAATTGGAGCAAGTTTTGTCCACACGATTTGCCAAATATCCCCTTTTTATTCCAGCCCATTCCCCAGGACATTTAGTTTCCATGTTGGATATGATAGACTGACCCCAGATGCAACTTGCTTGGTAGGCAGCTCGCCTAGTATGCTCGATTGGAGCTCCACGTGTTGGAGGGATTGACTCATAGGATCTTTGCTTTCGAGCAAAGATATCAAGTCTTGCATTGTTGATATGTGCAGTAGGGCTTGATTTGTCATACATAGCAATGACATACATTTCCAAAATATTTTGATCTAAATCACTAATTACAGGGGGATACTTACTGAGTTATGCAAAGACAGACGTAACTTCAGGACACACATTCCAAATTTGCCATGCAGTCTTCTTCCCTTTACCCCGAAAAGCTGATACAATATCACAACCGGTAAAGGCATGGGAAAACGATGTTCCCTCAGATTTACCATAGCCAATCGAGCTACTGATATCAAGGATAAGAATCCATCTTTGATTTTTGCCTTGACCAAAATCAATCCAAAGTGTCTGTAGGCCTTACTTTTGAAAAGATGACAACAAACGGACACTTATAACAAGAATATCCGTGTCATTTGCCTTTATCATTGTAGATCGAGATCCCTCTGCAACAGCATGTTTGGCTATTGCACACAACACCTTCCAGCCTTGTAACTATGACATTATTAGTGCTAAAAAGTTCGACAATCTTGTCTGCAAGAAAGCTGAAGAGCTCAGTTTTGTTTGTATTGTCCTGCAGGAAGCTCTGCTAGTTTTGTGGGATCATTTCTTTGTCAGTTACCCTTCTTCTTGCTCCAAACCCCCGTCGTGATCTTGTCTCAGGTTTTAAACTACCTGTTCTGTAAACATCGAACACAATATCCGTCATCTGGTACTTTGAACTGAAAGACTCGACTTTTGGTATTATCTCCAGCGTTGCATACAAAAGCGAGCCGTCAACTATAATGGCTTCAACATTAGGCTCAGTGTCTGGAAGTGGTACCTGATATTCTAGAATCGAAGCGAGCTGAGACTTCTGACAGGAATACAAGTTGCCACTTGCCACTGAGTGCAGCTGGAAAGGACTGATTTTCATGCTGAAAGAATTCCTGCAGATCACATTTTCGGGACTGACACGAGATGAATAGTTTGGAAAACAAAAGACAATCATCTTTTATGTCTTTTATGTCTTTTATGCTTCAAGTCTTTTGATGACGCTTCTGGTTGTTGCCGGAAAAGGTCCGTTTTGTTCTTCTTGATTGGCTCGTAAAATCTGCCTTTTTCTCCATTTTTAAAACTTTCGAAGCTGTT